TTAATTATAATTCTTAATTCATTATTTTTAACTCTCACATCTTTTAGAGTGATGATTGCCTGCGTTGTTGAATTGGAGGATTGATTTTTATTAGTGTTATTTGTGTGTCTCATTTTCATTTCTTTAATCTTCATTCATTTTAATCGTTTTTACATAAAAACAAAAAAAAAAGTATTTTAATTTCAATTTAATTCATGGTGTTTAATTAGAAATTCTCAAATCAAGAATCCTTTTTATAATTTAGGTTACTTGCATTTATTTACTAGGATTTAATTTCGTTTTCGGCTCCTCAAAGTGAATACGACCCGGATTGTGCACTATATTGCATTAATTCGGTTAATTTTTGGAGTAACTCCAAAGCGATAAATTAAGGGCAAGTTAACTTCAATCTCGTTTAGAAAATTTGCATAAGCGACGTGCATTGCACCCATTGATGCATTCAATATTGCTTCCAATTTTTATACTGCGTCTGGTAACATTGTGGGTGAACGTTGATTCTTCTTCTGGTAATGTGATGAGGTTTTTACAGGGGGATTCTGTGCCTTGTGAGCGTTGTGGCAGCAGGGGCAATGATCTTTCTATATCTCGACTTCAGATTGTTGTGCTTTGCTCACAATGGGCATTTTCTGCTTTCAAATGTTGTGCAAGTTTTACAATAATCTGCACCAAACATATATGGCAGAATTCTGAAGAAGAAAACCCGGGGGTGTGGTTGAGCGGTGGGGGCTCATCCTCCCTTAACCAAGTGTCGAGGGTTCAATCCTCGCCTTGGGCATGGAAAAGCTTTAAAACTCCGGGCCAGCTGTCCCACCCATCGAGGTGCCTACAAGCCAGCGAAGGGATTAGTCACTGGGTTCGCTGGTGGATACCCTGATGTTTTATCAAAAAAAGAATTCTGAAGAAGAAAAAAACACAGGAAGATGAACATACCCGAAGAAGGGAACACGGCAGTGTCGCAAATCAAAAGCGCATATAGATAATTTCATAACATCTTCAAAATCTCAGTTAATGTCACATTTCATTCTGTGATTTTTAAGCCTTAACTACTTGAATTGGAATTTTTTATATTCAATTGTTTTTTTCGGATTTTCCCTAGTACTAGATGATAACCTGAAAATTTAACTTTTAAATATGACTTTTTTCATTTTATTTAATTTACTCTTTAGTTCTATGAAGTACGAATTATTTTATTTTTTCATGGTATTGCTAGGACTCCTGTTAAATTAGGTTTAGTAACCTACTTAAATCACGTTTATTCTTGAGTTTCTAAACCCAAAATTCGAAATATGACAATTTAGAGATGTTTAGCATTATTAAGGAATATTTTATTTTTATTTTAATTTGATTGTTATCTTTTATTATTAATTGTTGTTTGCATATAATTTTAAAATTTTAATATATATTCTGTTATTAATTTTTAGAATTAGATTGAAACCTATAAATAATATCCCAACACAATGATGTAAAACAATTAAGAGATATAGATAATTAAATGAGGGAAGGCCACAAACGACCCTCAGATACGGTGCTGATTCCGACTTATATTCACTCATTGACCCTCTAAAGTCCAAAACAAAATCACTGTAATTCCTTCTTCAAACTTTATAAAACCATAATCTTCCATTTAGTTAAAAGACATCCACTTACTTCATATTCACTATCTCGTAACTAATCTTAACATTCTAGCTTAAATTCATGTTCCATAAATCTTTTAACTATAGCCTCCAACAACTTCAGAATCACAACCAAAACCCACAACATAGGATAATTTAGAGAACCAAAAATTTTTTACTTCAACAATCCACATATAAAGTGCCACATTGATTTTGTTCAATAATTCGCCATAATTATTGTGTTTGTGAGTTTGTATATAAATAAAATATCCATATTTCTCCAAATTTCAATATAGAAAAATACATAACTCTTCTACCATAAATTATTCAATGCTGTCACCAATAATTTCCATTCCTCAATTCCATAAAGTTCCATTCAAGGACATTTCATCCGGCACTTTGCAATTTCCATGCGCCCCAAGACTAACATAAGAATAAACAAATTTAATCACTGAAATTTCCCAATAATATTCTTTCCAACATCATTACGAAGTTATAAAGTTTCCAAATTTTATTTCTAGCAAGATTTAAATAATAATCAACCCAAAATAAAATCTAAATTTTTGTCCAATATCAAAACTCCGTCTATACAGTATAGCCGGTTCCAAAGGCAGATAATCGAGGTGGTTGTGTTAGGCTCTCAATAACATCCAACGTAAAAATCTGTCGAATCTGGTAAACATGAATCAAAACATTATGTAGAAACACGTCCATAAAGCCTCTTTCTTTTCAAACGTTTTATCAAACGCCCATTGTGCAGTCAATCTGACAAACTTCAAGAATATTTCTCTTAAAATCACAGCCCCAGACTTCATACATTCAAACTATAAATCCAATTCCATATAATCACCAAACCTTGCAACAGAAACCAAGCACCAATTGGAAGAAAACCACAATTTCCCAATCCACATACACGACGGAACCGGGGGGGGGAGCGGGACGCAACAGTCCGCACCAAACATATGGCAGCATTCCTGGGGATAAAAACACAGAGATTTGAACATACCCCGAAGAAAGGAACACGGCAGCGTCGAGAAACAGGAAGAAGAAGAGAAGCTCGAGATCCCACACAACGGTCCGCAACAGCGGCGAAACAGAAATCAGCAACGAGGAAGAAGGAAAGGAGAAGATTAGGTGCGAACACTCCCTCAACAATGGCAGAAGAGCAGTGAGGAATGAAGGGCTCTGCTTTTCGAATTCCCCGTTTTGCAGATGAAGCTCTAAAGCTCCGCGGTCGAGACTCGACACTGTCAGGACTCAGTGCTATGCACCAACAAAGGATGCGTGACGGCGAAGGGTCGGCTTCACCAGACACCCGGCTCAAAAATACGCCTTTCCTTTTAACCAAAAAAAAAAAAATTCTCATCTATAAAAATAAATTTAATCCTTAAATATGATATTTATTTTATTTTGTTTTCTTTAATTTACTCTTTAGTCCTAAAAACCATTCTTTTTTTTTTTTGCCATTAAAAGCATCATATTTTTTAAAGGTATTGTTAGAACTTCAACTAAATTAGATTTAATAACTTACTTAAATCACGTTGATTTGAGTTTCTAAGTCTAAAATTTAAAATATGACAATTTTAACTATTTTGGATATTTAGTATTATTAAGAAATGTTTAATTTTAATTTACTTGTTATTTTTTTATCATTAATTATTGATTTTCATTTAATTTTATAATTTTAGAATAATCTATTATTGATTTCTATTTATTTTTAGGGTTAGATTTAAACTTACAAATAATATATAAACATATATGCTTTCTCCATTTTATAATTTGATTAAATAGTAGACTGCATAAAACAACCAACAACAAAAAGTCCCTGATGCAAGAAAGAAGGGAGAAAAGATGTAAAAGAAGAGAGAGAAGGAGAGACAAAAAGAGAGGAGACTAGAAAATATCAATTCTTATTCAATCATTAAATGAAAACCCTAACCTTTTTTTATAAAATTTCTAGAAATATAAAATAATAATAAAATCCTAAAACAAATCCTAATAATAATTAAAGAGATAATTACAAAATATTAAAAGATAATTAATGTAATAAATCCTAATTTTAATATATAAATGTTCTTATTCAGATCCCTAATGGATATAATTATTAATCTAATTAAATCCTAATTATTTCTTATCCCATACTCTGTCAGTCCTACTTACAACAATCACTCCATCCATGGTTTAAAGCATAACTTCTACAAAAATACATGTGTGAGAATCATTATTTGACCAAGAGTGAAAATGTAATAACAAGAGAAGAACCATGTTCAACAAAAAAAATGCGTATGTTATAATATTCAGCCACTGAATAAATTTAAAAACATAAAAAAAATATTTTACAATTCTTAATATAAAACCTAGTTGACTAATTTGAAAAGATTAAAAAATTACTTAATTAATCTTTCTAAAAGACTTATGTAGATTATTAAATTATATATCAATTTATAAATAAGATAAATTAGTTTTAAAAAAATATTATACATAAATAATTTAAAGTATTTTAGTAACTTCTTTACTTTTTTTCAAATTAGCTAACTTGATCATGGAAGGAGAGATGGTATAAAAGATTTAATTTGGACACCGTCAAGTAGCTATTCCAACTGTTCGCATTGCTTGGAGGGGGCTAGACTCGTCCATTATCAAACTCGTCGTCTGGATTCGTCGATGACCTTATCATCACTGTTGTCGCCATCTATCAACATCTTCTTTACACACTACACGCCTTTGAAAGTTTGAATTCTCCCGCATGAAAAAAACCATTTGAAGTGGTCGTACCACAAGCAATGAGGAGGAAAAACAAATGTAGATGATACATAGTTGATGACGACATCTCGACTGCATATAAGTGCCACAGAAACGGTAAGAATCTGGATATTCATTTCAAGAGCACCATAACGTTTCGCACAACCATCCAAATTATTTTCTAGCACTAAGCAAACGGCTATGCCCCACCATTCACTACTTGAGTTGCAAGAATCAGGCTTGTTTGCTATGAATGACACATTTCTTGGCTCAAAAGAGAAAACTGAGGAATCTTCCGCACAAAAATAGCTTTGATTGTAAAACCATGATGGCACTTTGCTACCAGAAACAGTTAAATATGCGAGTAGGTTGCATGAAGAAATGATCCTGTGATGAAAAATTATTCATGTTAGACGTATAATAATGGGATAAGGTGCTTAAATATGCGAAGGTAGTATATTAATATCAATCACTCCAATTTTTTTTTTCATGAAATTATCCCAAGTTATGATATTCCGAAATAGTCCTTGGGAAAACTGGAGGCAGCGGGGAGCCAGGGCCAAACGTGTGAAGCAAGGCAGCAACAATTTTCCTTCTCTTTGTTTCTTATTTTGATGACTATTATATTTCTTTTATGCATGGGCCATGGCTTCTCTCTCTCACTCTACTCTTCTTCTACTCTCTTCTCTCAGCACATCTTCCTCCTCCTCCATCCACTGTTTCTGTTCTTCCACATCCTCCCAGTCTCTTCGTTCCAAATTCCAATTGTCCTCACTGCCTCCATTCCTCTCTAAGAGCAGACCCAAGAAGAAAGCAACGCGCCCTGAAGGGTTTCTGACGATCATCAATCCCATTTTGCTGTTCAACGGTGTGAGTAGTTCCACTTTTAATTTCGATGCCCAGACCCTTCTCGCCACTGTTAGTGTTCTCTCTGCAATTGCTCTCTCCTTGTTTCTTGGTATTAAGGTAACAACTTTTGTGTTTCCTTCCTGTTTCTTCCATTTTGGTTTCTATCACTCGGGTGCTCAGTTCTGTCTCATTCTTACGGAGTTTCAAATTGAAACTGAATCAGATTTTGGGTTGTGTAATGAAGTTATACAGAAGATTCTCTTACGGCCCATTTACTTTGAGCTCATGTCTGGTGTTGCAAAATGGGATTTTACACTTCTTCTAGAACTGCAAAATGGGATTTTTTCCCCCCCTTTCAATATCTCGTTTAGAAAATTTGCTTAAGCTACATGCATTGCACCCATTGATGCATTCAATATTGCTTCCGTTTTTACAGGGGGATCCTGTGCCTTGTGAGCGTTGTGGCAGCTGGGGTAATGATCTTTCTATATCTCAACTTCAGATTGTTGGGCATTTTCTGCTTTCAAATGTTGTACAAATTTTACAACATTCTGCGCCAAACATATATGGCAGAATTCTGAGAGAGAAAAAAACACAGGAAGGAAAAGAGATCTGAACATCCCCCGAAGAAAGGAACACGGCAGTGTCGCGAATCAAAAGGGCATATAGGTAATTTTATAATATTTTCAAAATGCCAATTCATGCCTCATTTCATTCTGTGTCATTTTTAAGCCTTAGCCGTTTGAATTGGAATTTTATATATTCAATTTTTTTTTTTTACGGATTTTCCCGTGTACTAGATGATAACCTGAAAATTTAACTTTTAAATATGACCTATTTCATTTTTATTTAATCTACTGTTTAGTCGGTTAGTCCTGTGAAGTACGAATGATTTTATTTTTCATGGTATTGTTAGAATTCCTGTTAAATTAGGTTTAGTAGCCCACTGAAATCAAGTTTATTCTTGAGTTTCTAAACCCAAAATTCACAATATGACAATTTTTAACTATTTCAGAGATGTTTAGCACTATTAAGGAATACTTAATTTTAATTTTAATTTAATTGTTATCTTTTATTATTAATTGTTGTTTGCATATAATTTTAAAATTTAAAAATATTCTGTTATTAATTTTTAGGATTAGATTGAAACCTATAAACAATATCTGAACACCTATGGTTTGTCCGTCTTATAATTTGATTAAATAGTAGACTGGCATAACTTCTCGTTTTTTTTTTCTCCGCCGACTTTACAATACATGCATGAGAATTATAATTTGACAAGAGTGAAAACAATGCACAACAAAAAGGAAGGTGCATATGTCAATTTCAGCCACTAAATAAAATGTAATAACATGAAAAATAAATATGCATAAAAGATTTAATTTGTAGCAAGCGCATGCCTCCGTTTTGTTTGAGCTCAATGTCAAGTGGTTGTTCCAACTTTTCTCATTGCTTGGAAGGGCTGGGCACTCCATCATCAAACTCATCATCTAGATTCATCAATGAACTTATCATCAGTAGTGCTGACACTACAGCCTTCGTCACTGCTTGTGTTTCGCCATCTCTCAACATCTTCTTTACACAACACGCGCCACCCACACTGCACTATTTTCAAACGTGACTCCTCTGGTTCATCCGCTATGAAAAAAACCATTTGAAGTGGTTTTTCCACAATAAATGAGGAAAAACGAATGTAAATGATAGATAGTTGGTGGCGAAATCTGGACTGCGCACAAGTGGCGTAAAGACGGAATGAATTTGGATATTCACCTTCAGAAACCTATAAGTCCAACCAAGTACGGCAAAATCATCATAGTTTGCATGTTCCGAATCATTTTCTAGCACTAGGCATACAGCTATGCCCCACCATTCACTTGAACAGCATGAATCAGGCTTATTTACTATGAATGACACATTTGTTGGAGTATCCTCAAATGAGAGATCTTTCGCACAAAATAGCTTTGATTGTGAAACCATGATGGCACTTCACTACCAGGAATAGTTAATATGCGAGTCGGTTGCAGGAAGAAGTCATCCTGTGATGAAAATTATTCATGTTAGATGTATAATAATTAATGTGTAAGAAATAGTCACATAAGAAAATCAAATAAATTAGAAATTCAAGAGATTCAAATAACTCACAACTTGTGACTCGTTCCGTCTCACAAATGCAGACGTCATGTCACTGAAAGTGTAAACTTTATATCCGTCTACTGATGAGAATTCATATCGGCGTGAAGTCTATAACAACAAAATTTGGGATGTTATGGAATTATAATGACTGATGTGAAACAAATGATAGTGAAGAGAACTACAACAAACCTGATATTCAAATTCCTCAGTGAATTCCCATAGTTGCTGTGAACACACATAATTTTTCAATAATGGACAATCACCAGCATGTATCACTGACAGGTTTGCTGGAAGTTGAGGCAAAGACCGAAGCCTTGGGCAATCCTTCAAATAAATAAATTCAAGCTTTCGAAGTTTGGAAATGAACCTCAAAGGAATTTCAACAAAATTATTTCCAGCCAAACCTAATGCTGTCAATGATGATAAATTGCCTATTTCACTGGATAGTGATTCATCATCAAGATTGCAACCATTTAAATGTAACTCGACCAAAGATGATAGATTTGAAAAAGATGGAGACCACAAAAACTTAGTTGAACTTGAAGGCCTTTGAAGCCTAAATGCCCGCTTGAGAAGGCAGAAGTGATTCCATGAGGATGATTGTGCAGAAGCATTGCATGCACTAAGAGATAATACTTTCAAATTATTGAGGGACGAAGGCACTTCTTTTAGAGCAGTCCCACCCACATCAAGCTCCTCCAATGCCTCATTTTCATTCAAATTCTCTGGAAGCCTTGACAACTTTGAGCAGCCACGAATATTGATCTTCTTTATAGCTTTCAATTTTTTAAAATCACTTGGAAGACATACCAGGCTTTTGCAATACTTTAAATTCAATATAACAAGACCAGTCAAATTGACCAATGATTGAGGTAGTTTGGATATAGCAGTCCCTTTTAGATTAAGCTTTGATAAACATGTCATCCCTTTTCCAAACTCAGGAAGCCTCTTAACTTTTGAACAACCAGAGAGAATAAATGTCTCTAAGCAATTCATCTCCAATTTGGTTGGAAGGTTTTTAATACTTTTACAACCTTTAAAATTAACAATGACAAGATTCTTGTGTTGCCCGAAAGAGCAGTGAACTTCAACAAGCTTTGTACACCCCTTAAGAATTAATCTTTGAAGATTAGGAGTTCTATCAAAGTTTGATGTTCTCATCAGGTTTGTTGAATGACTCAAATCAATGAACTTTAGACTTTGTGGAAACTGCAAAGAACCAAAAAAAAAAAAGGCCTTCAAAAACCAAGAACTAGCAAGTGATACGCATGCAATAAATCATAGACAAATAAATTTAAGCAAAGGACCTTAATTACCTGATCTCCCCTCCAAAGTTCCTTTAATTTGCTGTGTTGCATTTTGAGATCAACAAGTTCATCAAATTGAGTTTGACCTGGAAGGGAATCTAAAGGATACTCCTTCCAATCTATGACTTTCAGTGAATTGGGGAGACAGTTAAGTCCATGAAGAAGATTCAATTGGTCATGTGAAGAATGTGATATGATAAGTAACTTGAGATTACTCATATTTGAGAAGGCTTTAGGTTCCAAATATATGACATCTGGTTTGTCAAATTGTACCACTATACCACGTATTGCTTCAGTTCCCTATATATAAAACAATAAGTCAATCAACCTAATAATAACATGAAAAATGCACGGAATATATTACTAAATTAATAATGCATAATCACAGAAAAGGGGGAGAGTGTTACCCTCATATTTCTAAGCACAAGACTAGCATCCTCCAAGGACCATATCCTACTACGATTGCCAGCATCATTGGTTGATTCGCGAAAAACAATTTCCTTGCCCATTTCTTGAAGCCTATCATGCACCCTCAAGCGCCCTTTAGCTTCAGTTACCAATGATTTCTGAATAAGAGTTCTTATTCCGATTATTGGGTGAAGACCACTATTTTCTAAAATCTGTATGACATCATCCTTGCGCAAGCCATTGAAAAAGCAAGCAATATCTAAGAATATATTCTTCTCATTATCTCGCAGTCCATCAAAGCTCACTTTAAGTATATCAAAAAGGCCATCTAAAGGAATCTTCTTGAGTGCATTCTCCCATTCTGGTATGCTTCTTCCACAAAGAAATGAACCAAGCACTTTGATTGCCAAAGGAAGGTTTTGAGCAGAATTAATCGCCCTTCTAGAAAGCTCCAAATAATCTTCATTTGGCTGATCTCCTTTGAAAGCTATTTGAATAAAAAGTTGAAGGGATTCATCGTGACTTAAGAAATTCATTTCATACTGAGAAACTACACCATGCAACAATAACACATGTTGATCTCTAGTTGTTATTATTATTCTGCTCCCTTTGCCAAACCATCCTTCCTTTCCAGCCAAATTCTCAAGTTGGCTTATGTCACTCACATCATCAAGGACAAGTAGAACTTTTTTACTGCATAACATTCTTCTTATCAGCTTTCTTCCATCATAACAGTCACACACTTCCATTCTGATTGATTTTTTCAAACGGGAAAGAAGTTTTTGTTGCAGTGAAATTAAACCACCATCTTTTACAGATTCCTCTCTAACATTATGAAGAAATAAATGAACTTCATAGTTTCTGTGTATTCTCTCATAAACAATTCTAGCAAGAGTAGTTTTGCCTAACCCTCCCATTCCCCATATTCCTAGAAATTGAACTTCCTCCGATTTATTCGCTAGAAATGAATCAAAATCTGCTATTTTCTCATCAATTCCAACAAGTCCATCATCAACACCTTCATCATTTGAATCGAATTGTGGGTGATCAACTATTCTTGACCTCACATTTTCAGTAACTATTTCAATGAGTTTCGTTTCATACCTAAAAAGATAACAGAATAATAACATTAATATTAAGCGTAGCCCAAAGTCATGATAATTTTTTGAAGTCATAGAAAATACCAATTTTCAGAGCTCCATCCAGCCAAGTCAGCAACTTCTCTCAAGGCATCCCTCCATCTTTGTACCTTCACTTTGTCATGTGCAAATTT